AGCTGGTGGCTGAGGAGGTTGGCGCTCTGGCTGAAGCTCTTCCCACATTCCTCACACGTGTAGGGCCTTTCCCCACTGTGGATCATCTGGTGTCGGAGCAGGTGGGAGCTCCGTTTGAAGCTCTTCCCACATTCCCCACACGTGTAGGGCCGTTCCCCAGTGTGGATTTGCTGGTGCTTGAGGAGGTTGGCGCTCTGGCTGAAGCTCTTCCCACACTCCCCACACATGTAGGGCCTTTCTCTACTGTGGATCATCTGGTGGCTGAGGAGGTGGGAGCTCCGTTTGAAGCTCTTCCCACATTCCCCACATGTGTGGCGCCGTTCCCCACTGTGGATGCGACGGTGGGTGCAGAGGGTGGAGCTCTGCCTGAAGCTCTTCCCACACTCCCCACACGTGTAGGGACGTTCCCCAGTGTGGATGTGCTGGTGGCTGAGGAGGTTGGTGCTCTGGCTGAAGCTCTTCCCACATTCCAAGCATCTGAAGGGCTTTTCCCTGCTGGGAGGCTGCTCAGGGACCACCAGCTCGCAGCTCCGGCTCAAGCTCCGGCCGCCTTCCCGGCACACGCTGCCTCTTTCCTCCTCACAGCCCCCTGGGCTGGCTTTGGAGCCCCTCCTCCGGGGGCATCTCCGGCCCTTTTCCTCCCCGCTGCCTTCCTGCGCCGTGGAGCCCTTCAAAACGGCCTCTCCCACCAGGCTCTGCCGCGGGGATTTGTCCTCCGGGCTCTCCGGCCTCAGCTCGGGGCCTGGGGCAGGAAGCAACAAGGACACGCAGGGGATTTGCCTCCGGCCCACAGGGAAGCCCAAGGACATCCCCCCAACTCTGGCCCCGGCAGGACGGCAAAGCAAGACCCACCCAAAGGGGCACTGACTTCCTCCTCACCTGCCTGGGGGGCCCGCGGCATCTTCCTCTTCCTCGCAGCCTCCTCCTCCATCCCACCAAGCTTTGGGAAGCAGAAATCCTGATGGGGGGGGGAAACAAGGGGTGAGCGCGTTGCCTTGGGGGTTCCTCCTGCCCAAGTCCAACTCTAGGACTCACCGGGCATCCTGTGTCCCTGAAAACCTCCAAAACACCAAGATTTAGACCAGTGTATTAGGGAGGGGGAGTTAAAGGTTCGAAGGAGATACTGAAGCTTGAAACCATGACACCGTTGAAAGCTTCACAACAACCAAGATTTATTACCGAGAAAGTGGCCAACAAAACGAACAAACCCAAAAGGGAGGAAGGGGGAGAGGAATAAGCTTCAGTTACCCAGCTGTTGCCCATAACGTTATCTTACCGACCTGGCGTGCCTATAATTACCCATAGCAGAAGCGGCATCCTTGGAGAGGCAGTAAGTTCACAAGACTGGCAGGTGTCTCCATCGAAAGGCAACATTGCCCTTGATGTGAAGTTAGCCCCCCC